TATTTTGAAATATATATATGGTCTTCTAGCATGGAATGAATTGTCATTAACAAATAAATATTTATTGTATGTTATATCATTTTATCATTATTAATACATTTCGGATTATTAAAATCAATAGCATCAAATTCATTAAAATGGGTAATTAATAAGTGTTTAAATATTTGTTTACATACATAATCATGTTTTGATATTTGATTCTTTTTCATTACATCCTAACAATATGTGATTAATAGATGTAATTGTGTTAGGGCAATGTTTACAATATTTTAAATCATCATTTTGGAGTATTTTTGATTTAATATTTCCTGTCATACTTACACCTTCTTGCATCTTTACTATTTGGAGGAATGCATTTCTTTTTATATTTAATGACCTCCATGTTGCTACTGTTAATTTCTTATAATTAAAAGTGCCATTTGCATTTCTTATATATTCACCACATTTCTTTTCTCTCCATTCACTTAAATATCTATCATTTAATTCATTATTTACACATTCAAATACTTCCTTTACATCATGTTTTCTTTCATTTAATTCTATTATCTCAATTAATTCATTAAAATTAATCTTTTTACAAAATGTTTTCTTCATTCTTTTAATTATTCAATTTGGATTTTCTTTTATTATTTCTATCATTTTTCATATTCCTGTGTTTGATATTTATATTTTAAATATATTCTTAATAATTCTTTACCACATTCATCTCTTGCTGACATTAATCCTAATCCCATTTCATTTATTTTAACATATAATCTGCTTTTGGGTATATTTCTACTGTATAATTGGAGTTGTATCAATGAATTTCTGATTTGTTTATCTATACCCTCAAACTATCCTAGTTTCCATGTGACAATACTAAATCCATATCTTAATTTGGAGATTATATCACTATTAATCTTTCTTATTGTATTGATAATGTTATATTTCACAGTGTTTAATGATGATAAAATAGAAGATACATCATTTAATATTCTTGTACAATATTTATTAATATTTACTTTATCTCATATTTCAATACCAAGGTATTTATAAGGATTGTCATTAGTTACTCTTGGTAGTTCATCTAATTCACCATTTATTTGAATATTAATATTATTCATTATCTCATTCTTTTCTACTTTAATTTTTAATCATATTCAATTATTATTTCTTTTGTTAATTCGTGTAATTTCCATTTCATCGAGGCTATTAGTTATTATCTTTAAATCATCAATATATAATATGTGGTTTAACATGAATTGTTTTTCTTCTCAATTCATTTTATTATTTAATTTGATTATTTGTTTATCTAATTGTTTAGATAAAATAACAATAGATAATACAAATAAGAGTGGAGATAGGCTGTCACCTTGTATTATTCATCTTTCTACATTAATTATACCCACACTTTCATGATTATAATATAAATTAAGATATGTATTATTTGATATGTATAATATACTATTAATTAATACAAGTGTGATATTAAAATATATTAAGCATTGTTTAATCCATTGATGATTAATACTATCATATGCTTTGGAGACATCATAATATGTTTCTACCAACTTCCATTTATTCTTTATTAATAAATGAATTATTATAGTGATGTATAATAATCATTCTTATGATGCATATGTATTTTTTACATCAAATTTGAGTTAATGATAATTGTTTTTCAATTTGATTTAGTATTAATTGATTTTCTATTTTCATCTTTAATATTGATGTATACACTTTTAACAGACAATTTAAACAAGTTATTTGTCTGTAATTCTGATTGTCTAATTTATTTCATTTCTAATATATTAATATTATTCTTCTTCATTGAATAAAATGAATAGGTATTTCATTAGGATTGTTTAACCATTCATTAAATAATTTTAATAAATATTTCTTTGGTTAATTTAATTATTTAATCAAAATCATTGTATTTTATCAACTCCTGGTGCCTTCCAGTTAGCAGTAAATTTAATATCATAATCTAATTCATTTAGAGTGATTATGAACATTCTATTATTAATTCTATTTTCATTTAATATTTCGTATAAATTAATATTCAGGAAATCTATATTAGTGTTAGTTTCATAGATTCATTTCCAGAAATTACTAGTGGAGATATTATCTAAATATTCATCTTCTTTAGATTTATTTAAATGTTATCTTTTCTATATTTCATCATTTTATATTTCAATCTTATTCTTTTTCAATTTATTCTTTCTTATTTCTATTTCTATTCTTTTCATCTTTCGGAGGTATTTATAATAGTTTATTTGTTCAATTGTTTTTACTTTAATATGATATATATCATATTTCTTAATATGTATTATTCTTTTTAATTTCATGTATTGTTTATTATTGAACAAATCTCTTATTCTATATATTTTTGATTATATTATTCTTTCTATACTTTTCTTTCAACTTCTTTCTTGTTTATTTTTATTAATAATGTTAATAGTGGAATCTACAGTTTTAATATAATGATAATAATCATCTAATGTATTTATTATTATTTCATTTGTATTAATAATATTAATTATTTGATGTACTTTCTTCTTATTACAATAATAATTAATAAATTGTACATCTTCTTGTTCTTTCATTTCTTCTTCTTTAAATATCTTCATTATTTCATCTTCTTCTATTTCTTCTTTCTTGTTCATTCTAGTTATTATTTCTTTTATTTCATTATCTTTTCATTGATGTTTTATTATTTCTTCCTTCATTATTCTATTGATTTCTCTTTTAATTTCATTCTTTATTTGAAATATCTTCTTTATTATTTCTTTATATTCATTAATATCATTTACTTTAATTCCAATTTCATGTATTAATCTTTCTATTATTTCTTCTTTAAGTTGACATCTTAATTTTCTTTCAAATAATTTCAAAGCAAAACATTTATAAAATGTTAAAATTTCTTCTTTTCTATCTGTTTGTTTCAATTGTTTTTATTGTCTAATTCAACTGTTGTGATCTTCTTATGCTGAATAACCATTTCTTCAATGAATTTCTGCGTTAACTTTCTTTTTTTGGAAGATCATCTTCACATGATGATATTTCATCAGCTACTACCACATTAGGGGAGAGGTCATTCACAATTTGTGATTCAGATGATTCTGTTATATTGTAATTTATTTCATCTTTCTTCTTTTCTTTCTGTGTGTTTTTATTTTCTAATTTAGATACTTTATCTTTCATAAATAATAATTGATGTGTTAAATTATTTACTTCAAACATTTTCATCTCAAATTCAGCATGGAATTTGAATATTTTTTATCACACTCTTATTTTCGTGTTTAATTCATTCTCATACTTCTTCTTTAATGCCATAATATCATTTGTTAATTTATTAATGGGTTATTCTTTTATTTCTATTTGTACTTCCATTTCTTCTTTCTCTTTTATATCCTCCTCAACTCTTTTTTCTAATTCTTCTACTCTTTTCTCATTTTCATTGTTCATTTTCTTTCTTTTCTCTTAATTTCATTGTTTTTTACATTAATCCTCTTTTTCTCTTCATCGACTTTCTTCTCATTACCAAACATATCCTTTTCTTCTCATCAATAACTCCATTTTCTCATCATTTTCAATACTAATCGAATATTTATTAAATAATTTATTGTCATTAATCTCAATTTGATTTTGTTGTTTATCATATTCTTCCATCGTCATACTGATAGTTTCTTCTTCCTTTCTAATCATTTTTATTTTTTTTCTCTTGCAAGTAAATACTATTTTCTCCATCTTGTTGCTATGGTTTATTCTTTACTCTTTGTTTTCTTAATTTCATATATTTCATGTTGTGTAAGTATTTTAACTTCTTTTTCAAAGAGTATTTTCCAATATTCTTGGTTTTGTATTTCTATCATTTCTTTTATTTCTCATTTGTTGATGTCTTTTATTATGATAATATTTATATCTTTATTGTTTTTATTATGTGAATTATTTGTAATATAATACTGAATGTTTCTATTTGAATTAATGATAAAATACTTATGATAATGAAAATGATTGAAGTGATGAGTGAAGTGGTTCATACATTATTATTCCAATTGTTATAATAATGGCTGTTGTGATAGTTTGTTGTGTCTCATGTAATGCTTCTGCATATGAACAGATAATAAAGAAATATGTCAAATAGAACAAAGAAAATAATACAAATGAAGAACCAAATAAAAAGAAGAGAATAATAAGAGTGATAATAACATAATAAACATAATGAACGATTATTAAAAATATAATGATTCAATGATTTAAACAATGAAATGATTTTGTTTCTTTGTTTCATAATTAGATTATAGAAGTAATATCATATTCTATTAGACAATTTCAATACAGAGGATATAACATATTTTATTGTATTTATTAATGAATGATAGATATGATTCATATAAAGAAAAGAAAAGAAGATATAAATAAACAAAACATATAGAAGATAATTTGAAATATAATAAGAATATGAAAATTATAATGAAAAGTGAAATGAAAAAGAAAGAAAAAAGAATAAGAAAAAGAAGAATAAATGTGATAATAAAGATAAAATAAGAAATAAAAATAAAGAAGAAGAAAGAAGAAGAAATGAAAGTAAAAAATAACAAATAAATTGAAAAGAGAATATGATGAAATAATTAAAAATAAAATAGGTGAAGAAAATAAAAATAATACCGAACAAGAAGTATATTTAAATCAAAAACAAATAGAAATAGAGAAAGGTAAAGAAATAAATAAAGAAAAAAAGAAAAGAAGAAATAAATAACGATAATAAACAAAAGAAATAAAAAAATATAAAATTTGAAGACAATAAATAAGAAAGGAAAATAACACAAAAATAAATAAATAAAGAATAATAAAACAAATAAATAGGAAGATATTTTAAGAAAGTATTTTACTTAAAGATTATAAAGAAGGAAATTTTAATAGTAAGACTAACAAAAGTAAAGGAAGATAAAAATGAAATAAGAAAGAAAAAGAAATAGAGAAAAGAAAAAGAAATAGAGAAAAGAAAAAGAATAGAAGCACTACTGGTCTAATGGTAGAATTTCACCCTCCCAAGGTGGAGATCCGGGTTCGATTCCCGGGTAGTGCATCTTTTATTTTATATTTTTTTAATTTTCCTTTTTGTTTTATTATTTTTTTGTTTTATTATTTTTTTTTTGTTTTTATAACAAATACATTTTATAGTTCTAATCATTAAATATTTCAATTTATCTCTTTTTCTTCTTAACGAAAATATCAAAATAATTTATTTGTTATATCTTAACATTTGATTTTCATTATTTTAATAGTTATTGTTAAAATGATTTAATAAATGATATGAATATTATTTGATTGAATTTATAGATTTTAGATTCTTTATTTCTTCTTATTTTATCAAGAATGTGGTATTATCTTTTTAGTTCTATTATATCCATTTATTATTCAATAATTAATTTATTCGAATTTATTTATAAATTCAATATATTTTATATTGTAGAATATAATTATTTGTTAATTTGTATTTTATTTTTTATTTTATTATATTCATAATTTTGTTAATTTTCATGTCATTTTACTATTCATATTAAATATATGATATTTACAATTATATGTATAATATTAATTCATTAATTTATATAATTTTATTACTTTAATATTCTTTCAATATCTTATTAATTATTCAATACACTTCATTTTTAATATATTAATATCTTATACGATTTATAGCATTATTTTATTTTGTCTTCTTTATTTATAAAGTTAAATAACACAATAAATGAAACATTAATAATTATGATAGAAGAATATGTTAATGAACTGATTAGAACAATAATGTATTATTGTAGAAGAATGAAATAGAAAATAACATATTAGATAGATGGTATGGCAATAAATGAATATGGAATAGAATTAAAAACATTAATTCATAAAATAAATGAAACAAAATAAAAGAAATAATAAATGAAATTATTGAAAAGAAAAAAGAAAAGAAGTAGTAGTAGAAATAAAGAATTATTGATAAATACATCAAAAAATGGAAGTGTCATCAAATAAGTGGACAATTTAGAAGATGGAATGAATCAAATGAGTATATAAAACTACTACAGTGAAAGCATTGAAGTTCATCAATATTAAAAGGATGCATTTCTTCAATTAACTAAAATGCAAGATGGAGCAATATTTTGTGGGTATAGAAAATCAAAAATAAAGAAAAATGAAAGAATAAAATATTCCACACTTTGTAAAGACAATAGAACACATTCTACTATATTGTATTGGTAACAATAAATTATAAATGAAGAAACATGACATATTGACATAATCATATTGATTAATAAGAAAATATACATTCAATAAATAATATAAACCCCATATGAAACAATGTTCCAATATAAAGACATCGCTATGATATTGAACAAACAAATACAATACAGATGGAAGAATAATATCACAAAAACAGACATATATGTGCGACGAAAAAAGCAAATAATGGAAAAAGAAGAGAAAGATATAAAAGAATAAAAATAAAGTAAGAAGTAGAAGAAGATGAAGAAAGAATACAAGTAGAAAGGAGAGAATATAAAAAGAAAGAAGATAAAGAGATAATAAAACAAAAGAGATGATAAAAGAAGAAAAGAATGAAAAAATAAAAGATGCAAATTTTATTGAAACAAATAAAAAAGCGCAAAATTTAATGATGCAAAATATTGGGTACCAGACACTTCAACTTCAACACAACCAAAAGAACAACCACCAAAATCAGAAGAACAGCCACAACCACAAAATCAATCGCAACAAAATCAGCCAGAAAAACATCCACAACCATCACCACAACAAAATGAAAAACAAGATAATAAAAATACAAATACTTCTGATATTTCACATGATAAAATTATTGTTAGTTCTGATGATATTTCTGATAATCACAACAATCTTGATGGAACATCAGGTATGTTTATGTTTTTGGCTTTTGTTATTCATTTGATATTCTTCTAATTATTGTGTTTCTCTCTTTTTCTTTTCGTATTCTTCTTTATCTTTTATTCATATGTCTATAAAATATTTCTTACTCTATATTTCATTCATGTTTAATGTTATTATAAAATTGAATTATTTCATATACATTTGAGATTAATGAATAACCAATATTATCAAAAAAATGATACGATAAAAGAATAAACATTGATATTAAAAGAAAATAAAAGAAAATGAATTAATAAATTCATAAGAAATAGAAAATGTCATGAATATATTATGAATGAATAAATAATAATGAAAACACAACATTTTAACACAAATATTATCATACAAATTGTTAAAATGGTTATTAATTAAATGAATAATAACATTTATAATCATATTTATATTAATCATATGTTGATTTATCATTATTGAAATAATGAAACAACAAATTAAAAATGAATATAAATAATTATGAAATAATTACAATATAAAACTATTGGATGAATTAAATATTTGATTAATCATATGTAAATATATAAAATATGAATAAAATAAGTGAAGTATAAGAGAATAATTGATATTAATATCATTTATATGATTCATTTATAACAATTTATTTTTTAATTTATTATTATTTCTTCTTTATTTATTTATTGTTGTTCTTCTATGAATTTTTATTTTCTTTTCTTCTTTATTTTTTTTCTTATTCATCTCTATTTATTCTCTATTTAATATCACATTAACTCTTATTCTTCTTTTTATATTCATCCATTTATTATCACTTAGTATTATTCTTGTCTACTTTTATTTTCTTCTTTCATTATGTATTTATTTTTTTGGGAGATCGAAGATGGCATGTCTAAAACACCACACAAACCCTAGTACAAATTCAAGCATCGACACTTCCAGTTATTATCTGGTTATGACAGTGCATTTGAATTAGAAATGTATTAGGTAAAGTTGCAAAGGGTGTAGCAAGATATTATGATAGAATATTACATGGTGTAATATAAAGAAGTACTAAAGTGTGGGTAAGACTAAAAGAAAATTAAACATAATAATATAATGGGAATGAAATAGTCTCTTCTCTCATTCATAAAATAAAGAAAAAAGGAAAAAGAAAATGTTTAAAATTAAGATAGAAAATAAACAAAAGGTTAAAAAGAAGAAATAAGCAGAAGAAGTTTGAAAAACCTTAATAAGAAGAAATAAAGCAAAGAAGTGATTTTTTCATTTTGCAAGAAAAACATAAATGATAAGTTAAACAAAAAGATTACTGTTTTTTAAATAGGGAAGGGATTAATCTCCGCTAAACTAAGAAGAATATATGAAAAATCTATTAACACTTAATTAAGTAATTTTTAATTATTCAATGAGTTAATTCAAATAAGAAATTGTAAGAAATGACAATTCTTGTATAATGATTATTGATAATTTTTAATGGTAGTTTGTATTTATTAAAAGAAATCAAAACATAATTAAAGTATAATTATAAATATATTCGAATATTAATATGTTAGTATGAAGTACTAAAATAAATAAAAGTAATACTATACATTTTTATTATGTTCAATCAAAGAATTTAATTGAAAATGATTGAATTGATTATTTTATTTTGGTCTTTTTTATTCTTCTTGATAAACACAAATTAATAATAGAATATAAGAATAATTAATAAAAGAGTAAGAAAGATGAAATAGAAACAAAAGAATAAGTATTTTGTTCAATGGTTTATGATAATTTTAGAATATACCAAACTAATTTTCAAAGATTTTTGGTAGTAGGCATTTCATATTTTTGTTTACCAAATTTAAAATATTAAAAGACTGAAATAATCCCAAGAAACACAATTTTGTTATAAATAAAATTTGATAAGAAAGGAAAGAAGATATTTAAAGAAAAAAAGAACAGAACTTCAAACAAGAAATCATAATACATATATGAATACACTAAGTATAAAGTAAGAGATGAAAGACTTAATTAAGAAAGAAGAAGCTAGTAATTAAAAGAAGTGAAAGTAAGAAGAAGTATAAAACAGGGAATATAAAATAGAAAGAAATAAGCAAGAGAAACTTAAGAGACACTATCAAACAGATAGAGGAGATGAATAAAGAAATATAAAAAGAAAACAAAAACATGTAATTAGGAAATTAAACAAAGGAATGTGAAAGGATAATAATGAAAAGCATCTGATGAGATGACCATTTCTAAGAGTAGAATCTAAATAGAAAAGTAATACGGAATAAAAGGGACATTCAAATGATTAATGTGGTGATCAAATGAATGAAGAAATTAAAAGTAGTTTGAAGTTGTTTTTTGTATTTATTACTTAAGGAAACATTAAGAAAGCTTCATGATATACCACAGAGAAATATCATGAACAACTATCCAAATAAATTATTACCTCGAGTTCATGAT